GGGGCGGGTACAGCTGGCTCTGCCTCTAGATAGGCAGAGCCAGCTGTCACTCACGCAGCTGGGCGGATCTCGACATCGATGTCGGGATCCGCTCCAGCGTCTCAGTATACCGCGAGCTATAGCTCACGGTATACTGAGCTTAGGGTGACGGGAGGACGCTAGTTTGTGTCCTCCCGTTACCCTAGGGAGAACTATGGGGAAAAGCCCTAACCCCATAGTTCTCCTTTAAGGCTTGACATGTTTGGTGTCTATTTAGCCGACATGACCCCGTATTTTATATTTTACCAAAAAAAATGGGTAATAATAAATATTTCATAACATAACATTAGGGAGGGAAACAGGTTTTTTTTTTAAAATGTCAGTATTTTTTTCTTTACATAGTAAAAAATAAAAACCGCAGTGGTGATTGAATACCACCAAAAGAAAGCTCTATCTGTCCCCAAAAAATGATTTAAAATTCATTTCAGTACAGCGTTCCATGACTGAATAAATGTCAAAGTACTGCAGCGCTGAATACTGCAGAATGGCCGGGACAGGAAGGGGGTTAAACACCTCGGGGCTTCGAGTGGTTAATTAAATTGTATCTAATAATGTATAAGGGAGATTCAATGGCTGTTTTGCTATAGAACTTTACTACTTGGGTGCAATGAGAGTCTGGCAGTTTCTCATAGATCAGTTTTATTTTCAGGGTCATATTCTGTGACATTATGCATGGATCATAAAAGAGTGTATAGCATAGGGACAAATTCCCGTAAGACCAGATACCTTCCTCTTGGCTGTGATATATTAAATCGGCAGAAGCCGTGTTACTGAGCTAAGACAATTCTGTTAAAAAATATATGTGAAAGCTCTTGTAATGAATTCAAGGTTTTTTTTATTTTTTTTATATGTCTCAATCTGCTTTAACTGTATAAGTCCCGTGTTCCCTCAAAATAAGCCAGGGCCAGGTCGCCAATGCAGACATCCCAACTCTCCTGGACGCTCACCGAGTCTCCCATTATTAGATAGTGGCTCCCGGCCGCCCGGGAGAGGAACATTTTCTCCCGGAAAGGTTACTCTGCTATATCTAGCAGAGTAAACCTTTCCCTGCGAACATAGGAATGCATAGCTAGATTCCTATTGGCTAATTCACTTTGCAATAGCCAATAGCAGACTAGCTAGTGCACCTGCCCACTGCTGCTGTCAATCAGCAGAGGGGGACCTGAAGTTTTCCATCAGGTCCTCTTCTAGTGATTGACAGCAGAAGAGGGCGGTCTGCAATAGCCAACTTGCTATTGGATATTGCAAATTGAAATAGCCAATAGCAATATAGCTATTAGTTCCTATGCTGTTTTTTTTTTTCTTTTTTAATTTATTCTGAGGACAGCAGAACACACAAAAAAAAAACAGCAGATAGCAAAGAAGCTATTTCTTCCCGTGCTATCTGCTATCATTTCAGGGGGGTGCTCCCCCCCCCCCCCCCGCAGATGGGGGGGAAGAGGGCACCTCCCTGAAATTAGAAGGGCACCTCCCTGAAATTGCTTTCTTCAGGTTGGGATCCCTGCCAATGTGTCTTACACATTACAGCTGGGGCCCAACTTTTGTCAATGGATCTGGCCCTTGGATTGGACAGACTGGTTCCTGAATCCCATATTATTTTATTGAGTTTAGGGTTTATTTTTAGAAGTGTTTTATATTGGTTGAACTCGATGGACATGTGCCTTTCTCCAACCTATCTAGATGACATGACGTGCGCACACCATTCTGTTTCGCAATGTCATCTTTATTCGTATTTCTTTAGCATGACATGTGACGTTACAGGACCCCTTCGTCAGTCAGAAGTGCTTTTGCAAAATTGATTCTTGGGCCATGTTTTGGGGTCATGTTTTGGTTCTCGGGCCATTATTTGGTTTTGGGCCCAAAGGTTGAATTTTGACCTAAATCATTTTTATAGATTGCTCCCCAGGCTGCCACTTGTGAAGATCTAAAATAAAAATGTTCTTGGTGAGCAAAACATCTATAATGGGAGGAAGTACGGTCTCTGCTAAATGTGAGATAAGACTTTACCTCACTATTGATTAGCAAGGCTGCCCGTCATAAAGATGAATCAATATTTACAAGAAATCCCCGGGTCTCGGATCTAGTAGTATCGCAGCTGCAAAGTAAATACAGGTTCACTTCATTGTTTAACAAATACCTTTCCATTTCGGTCTGCAGCCAGCTGTGATTGTCTGCAACTGGCAAAAATACCAATTTTTCTTGCAACCAGGGTAAAGGTTTGTGCTGGGGATTCCCAGAGTTCTCATCTTCTTGCTTTTGCCAAAAGGCTGCATGGATACAGAGTACAGATTAAAGGCATTGCTGGCAGTGTCTTCTGGTTTACTTCAGTTGGGAGTGAAGGACCGCACATCTAAGGGCTTGTGTACATCAGCAAATCCAGTGTGCTTTCAGCTTTTCATTTAAGACCAGTATGAGACAATTCTGAGATCCTTCTTAAATCCTCCACAAGTGTTTCTGACCACCTGACCAGTGGCATAACCACATCCAGATTACCTCCAGACCAGACCAGATTGTTTCTAGACCCAAAATGCATCCTAATGTATCCCTATCCTATTTCTGGCCTATGTTCACACCACCGCAGTCCGTTCCAGACGAGAAAAATAATGCATGTCTCATTTTGTCTGGTCTGGAATGCACTGGAACTGCGGGCAGGTTTACACCATTTTCCGGACCAGATCTGGTCTGGAAAAAGGGTTGAAACTGCTGCTTTTGCATTCCTATTGATTTCCATGGAGAGAAACACACTTATGAGGCCGGGTTCACACCATTTCCCCGACCAGATCTGGACCAGATCTGGAATGCAGTGCTTCGCGTTTTTCCCACAATTTTGCCGCGTTCCGGAGCTGTTTTTTGTGTGGTTTGTTTAGCACAAAATGGGCTCTATGCGTTTCTATGCATTCCAGACCAGCCAAAATGAGACATGAAGTATTTCTCTGGTCTGGTCTGGAACGGTCTGCGCTGGTGTTAACAGAGGCCAGAAATAGCATGGGGATACATTAGGATGCATTTTGGGTGCAGAAACAATCTGGTCTGGTCTGGTCTGGAGATGATCCGGATGTGATGTGAATGGGCCCTGAAGAAAACAAATGCTTGAGTACCCAAGTCTAAATATATAGGGAGATAGACAAGGGTAGAACTAATCATAGGATTACAGTAAAAGCAGAATCTCCCATCTTAGCACTTTTCCAGCAAGATTTCGGCACTGGGATGCCCCATCTTCTTATCCACAGAACACAAGCAAGTGATAAAGTGTACCAATATCCCTGCATATAATTGACCATTGGGGGATTGACTGCTTTCAGTTTATTTGTTAAAAAAAGCTTTAGATTTGGTAGTTGCAATGATGTCCAAAGACGAGTCTGAAGGATGTGATATGGTAAGTGCCAGTAGAGCACCCCTGTGAGCTTCTGTGACTCTAGGATTCCATCCATGTCCGATAACAGAGGATATTCACATTGTTTACAATACGGTACTAAGAAAACATTTGGAAGCTGTGGGCAATAAGAACACATCCTTGTAGGAAGCTTTTCGTATGCGAGACCACTTATGACCACAAAAGTCTGTTTTTTCTGTGCATAGCTAACTGTCTGTTCCCTGCAGAATGGGCTGAATGCCCTGCACCTCTCCAGTAAAGAGGGTCACCTCAAAATGGTCAGCGAGCTGCTGCACAAGGAGATTGTCCTGGAGACCACCACCAAGGTGAGACCCACACGATGATCCTTTTCTCTGACCTTTTCTACAAAGTAGCTCAATGTCATCTTCTGTGCATTTCCATCATCTCCCCTGATTTCTTTCTATGTATGCATGGCTCATTGTCTCACCGTTGTCCACTCTACAGTCTCTGCAGGGCCATATTAATCAAAGGGAAGCTATAGTCTATTTTCAAAGAGGTAGCCATGTTGAATTATTTATGTATACAGTATAGGTCATTGGTTATGTCACTTCCATGTTTGTAGTTGCCTGATGTTCCATATGTTGACTCTTGAACGTTCACATAGACTTGGAAATGCTGCCTGTAGCCAACATCTCTGCATTGGAGATTCTGATCTCCTGCTTGAAGAGGAACGCTTAAAAAATTTAATTTGTCCCCCAACAGCTGATGAAGAATATACAGGGCTATTCACCAAAGGGTGAAGGGTTTGGGGAAGGCAGGAGAAGGGAACAATTTAGGACAACAGAGCTGAACTGGAAACATTCTCCAATTCAGCTCACTTTCCAGTTCAGCTCTGTTGTCCTAGATTGTTCACTTCTCCGGCCTTCTCCAAACTCTTCACCCTTCTGTGAATAACCCTAATAACGTTTATTCCTCTAGCGGTATCGACTACCTTACTTCATGATCCCGTGGCAATCGGTGGTCTTCTTCTCTGCAGAGTTAGAATGTGGGCATGCACTCCTATGCTATCATGTACAATGTGGGACCAATGGTGGCTGCTGATCCTGTATTGTACATGATGGCGTCAGCATGAGAAGAATTAACAAGACTCATAGGCAACCAGAAAGAGCGGCTTTAGGGGACCAGTTGCCACAATTGGAACCGTAGGGAGGAAGACTGCGGGACGGTGGAGTAAGGTAAGGACTACTAATCATCCACGGGGAAAGCAAGCAGGATATTCTTCAACAGCCGGAATCAGGATCGAAATCCTGATTTAGAGCAATCTAAAAATATATTTTTTTCTTTTGGATAAGGTAGAGAAGGGATAGAACTCTCCATATTCTTGATTTTCTTTAATGACGGCTGAGGTAAGAACAAAGTAATTCTTTAAAGAGTCTAGGAAAGACTGGACCCATACAATTCTACTGGGAGAGAGCAAAGCGCAATCAATGTAATACTGTAGTAGGAAGCAGAGCCTGCATATGTAATGGGAAACATTGGCTGCCCCATGTGCATATATATATTTATTTTAAAAAATTCAAACATTACATATACATATACTGTATATATATATAGAGTACATATCGCCTAAAATACTGTAAAAGACTATAATTAGTTTCCCTTTGAGTAAGAACTGTCTGTATCATCTCACAGCAAACCTTCAGGTCTGGTATTGAAGGGAATTATTTTTCTTCATTTGAAGGTTTCTCTATTACTTCAATTGTTTAGTGTAGATGACAATACTGGGGGCTGCGTTTTGACCTGCCTTGCATTGCGTTTTGTTAGACACAACAAGTCCTATTGAGATACATTTCCATTGCAGGGTAAACAAGTAGAACTCAGCCATTTACTGCATTTTGCATTGAAACCATTTAATCCATCCATCATTTGTAATATATCCACCAGTGTAATGTAATCAGTTGTTATAGTGTAATACAGACAGTTATTGTGCAGACACTTTGATTATTGAGGTCAATGTCTCTTTTGTTATTCATGTTATTGACCTCTGCTGTCATTTCGGTTATATAGAAGGGTAACACGGCCTTGCACATCGCTGCTTTGGCTGGCCAGTTGGATGTGGTGCGGGAACTTGTCAACTATGGGGCCAATGTCAACAGTCAGTCACAGGTAAGTAGACTATATTATTTCTGTTATAAATTAAAAAGAAAGAGTGGTGGAAGTGATGATACTGCTATTCCTTTTAATGACATTAAAGCACCAAAAAGGCTCAATTTGTAAAGCATTGGGGTTCCATTCATTATGAATGGAACCCCAATGCACATGTGCTGCAATGCATGGTAATACACTACAGTTCATTGTGGTACATTGGGTTGCCATAAATGGTGCATGTCCATTTTTTGGGACGTTTTGGTGCATTTGAATGGACTGCCTTAAAGGATAAAACATTGTTTAAAACAAAGTGCAATTATCCTTTTGGCTCATTTAAGATGACATCACCAATCCTGCCCTCCCCCGTGCACAGATGCATACTTACTGTTTCGACATACCCAACCTTGGGTGTTTGTTTACATCTGCGGCTGACGTCTCCTTTTTCTAGCCATGCATGTGCAGTACATTTACATTGATTTCAATGAGGCTTGGCTACCTCTGTCTCCCAGCCGGGTAGAGGAGCCCCATAGAGGTCAATGGGGATGCACCGTGCAGGAGTGGCCAGGAGAAGGAGACACCCACCACAGGATGAAAACAATGGAAGCTAAGCCCATCGGAATGGTAAGTAGGCATCTGTACATGGGGAAGGAAGGATTGGTGAGGTCATCTAAAAGGTGCCACAAGGAAAGTGCACATATCCTTTGACCTAACCCCCCTTAAAAGTGTGAACCAAGCCCTGAGGTCATAGTAGGTTGTTTGCACCACAAACATCTGTCTTGTAGAGATGTCACGTTACCTTTGTGCTGCTGTGTCATTATTGCAGAAAGGCTTCACCCCGTTGTATATGGCAGCGCAGGAGAACCATCTTCCCGTGGTCAAGTTCCTCCTGGAGAGCGGAGCCAATCAGAACCTAGCTACAGAGGTCAGTGCTTTTTCAATGGCCGACACTGATATCTAACATAAATGTACAGGTTTGCATGTATGTATCTGAGTGTTTGAAACAAGAATCATCTCCAACGCCCAACGGCAATTAACCACTTTGTTTCCCAGAGTATACCATGATGGAAACCTGTGATGGAAAAGTCACAAATTAAACTTGACTGGTTTCCATGGGGCAACATAGTTCCCAATTTAGGCATCATGATAAACGGAGTGCAATGTACACTTTAATATAATGCATGAAGCCTCATGGTGCAATTATTTCATTAATAAGGCAGAAGCTCATTAGGTAAAATTAGGGAATTACGGGACAAGGCTTGCTCTAATGCAACTGTGAAGTTTATTCCCTCTAATTAGTACAGCTCGTATCTTCCGCATGACATACTTCTGCAGCTGTGAGCCACTCTAGGGTCCGTTCAGTCAATGTATGTCATACTGTCATTTCAGTGTGTTATCTGCTGGTATTTTCCAGTGTCGTTTGTCGAGTTTCTCATTTGGCATGGATCATTTTAATTTACTGAATAATGTGTTTGCATTCCATTTTAAAAATCAATTCACAAAGATTATAACACTGGTTGTTGTATATTAAAATATCTTCTCTGGAACTGGCCTTGCCTTCACAATGACATAGACTTGAGTGGGACTCTTCTAGCGTCTCTAATGTAGGGGCACAGCCCCCCATTCAAGGTCATAGGGACTCAATGTGCAGACACAGCCAGCACAGGTTTTTGGCCTGAGAACATAAACATTAGAGCAGGTACCGCTGTTGGGAAGAAGTAATCATGCACCTGCGTGGGGAGGGGGGGAATTTTAGGTTAGATTAGGTCAGGGGCTAGGGAGGGTTGGGCTTTTTTTTATTGCACTTATACTTGTAGCTTGTAGCAATTATTCACATTCAACTGGATTTGTTCAGTAATGTTGAAGATTTTTTATAACTCCTCCAAGATTCTTCTTCCATGCCTTATCCATGGTGTAGCTAGAAGTAGTTATTCACACTCAACTGGACTTGTTCCGTAATTATAAAGATGTTTTGTAGCTCCTCCAAGCTTCTTCTTCCATGCCTTATCCATGGTATAGCTAGAAGTAGTTATTCACCTTCAACTGGACTTGTTTCGTAATGTTGAAGATGTTTCATAGCTCCTCCAAGCCTCTTCTTCCGCATCGTATCCATGGTATAGCTAGTAGTAGTTATTCACATTCAACTGGACTTGTTCTGTCATTGTGGAAGACCTTTTTTTAGATTATCCGAGCTATTTCTACCATTCCAGTGAGTGTCAGGAAGAAAGCCCAGCATTATATATACACACAGGTAGCACAGACATCTTAATCCAATCACCATGGTATATGTAGATGCTGCTTGTAAGAGAACAGGATGGGAGGTGTGAAAGCTATGGAACCACCATGTTCTAATTACATAATTCCATCCTCAGTGCCAGGAAGTCTGCACGTGTGTTAATTCTTCTATTCACATAGCTAATGGTGTGAATTGCTGTCAAATTGCCATGGTAGGGATGTTAAAACGGCTTTATATGTTTGGAGGGCAGTTTGGATTGAGATACCTGTATGAGCAGATACCCTTTAATAAAGAGCGGGGGGGTTGGTTCGGTGGACTTGAAGTTTGGTGCTTAGGTTTCCTGTTTAAAGGACACCTATTATAAGAGACTAGCCTGCCAAATCACCTGCTGATCCAGTAGCTTCAACATTTTTTGAGTCACTGATCCAGAAAAGGTATGCAGGAAAGTGAAGTCAGAACTTTTTTGGAAGTCATCAGAACACTATGACAGCCAGGTAACTAGCACATTAAAAACAAGGTCAGCCATGGCACAACTCGCAGGACGTGTCTCCTTTAAGATATAAGAACATTATTATTGTATTTAATAAAGTTTTTATTCTTAAATTGGGTGATGACACAGCGATGTAATATCTCATGATATATAAAGTGTGTCCTTCTGGGATAGTTCCATTCACTCTCACATAGAAGACATTAATAATATTCATAGAAAAGGCTCTCCGCTGCACCTGTCAGTTTATTTATAGCGTGCCACCTGATCTCCCCGTCCTGAAAATGGTGACACTGAAAAAGCCATTTTTTTTGTATTTATGTTTTTCTTTTTTGGAGCTGCACTGTGACACGCAGTTCACTTCACACAGCAGAACCGGTAGAAATCATTAATTTCCATTGTCATAATGCCCTTGGCACCATCTGAGCCTGTACGAATCTGTGGCTCTCAGCAGAAAAGGCAACATGTCATAGACTACAGGCCAAGGTGACATGAGGATGGGGGACACACTGATCCCGGTCACAGGGCGAATCTTCTGGGACGTTCATCGGGGTGAATTTTGGAATTTAGGTTTATATGACATAATGACAGTATTCTACACACCTGATAGGTGCACATTACGGAATACTTACACCGGGGGTGGGCAACTCCGGCCCTCCAGCCATGCTTCAACTATGGAATCTACATCCTAATGTAACAGCAAATGTTGACATCCCAGCAGGTTTTTTTAAAGTAAAAACCTGAACCAGGTTATACCCCTGCAGTGTCTTCCCACGTTGTAAGGGTTAAAAGAGAACTATGAGGTAAGTGTTTTTTCCCATATTTCTATTTAGGGTCACGGGAGGACATATACAAACCTCCTCCAGTTACCCTCAGCTACAGCTCGCTGTATACTGAGACCGCCACAGCCGGGACGGATCCCAACAATGCTGTTGAGATCCACCCAGCTGCATGAGTGACAGCTGGCTCTGGCTATCTAGAGGCAGAGCCAGCTGTGCCCGCCCCCTTACCCGTCCGTTCTTCCAATCAGCGCTGGAGGATCGGAGTAGGGAGGGGGGAATCCTTGCAGGGAGCGGATAGTGACAGTCACGGCTATCTGCAGGGGCAGGATTGAGAAGTGAGCGAGCGGCCGTATGTGTTCCCTCACTTCCCGATCTATTGAGCCGACTTGTGACAGTTTCAATATCACACGTCGGCTCGAACTATGAGGCTGAGTGATTTTCACGCACCTCATACTTCTCCTTTAAAGTTAACCTTGTTTTAATAATGGATCCAGGTTAAATAAATATACATCGGCCAGCAAAGTATTTCTTTCATTTTTTTAACCCAAGCACTTAGTCATCATGTTTGCTCAGCAGCTCCAAATCTCTCAGCTTGGCTTCCCTGAACTCCATGTCCAGTACATGACCAGAAGGGACAGTATAGTGTCCATCTAAAAGCTTCTGGAAGGGAGGTTGAGGAGCAGGGAGAGCAGAGACCAGTGTCTTGCCTTGCTGTGCCTGTATGTTTGTAGAGACACACACAGCTTACTAGCACACACAAGGGCGGCTCCATAGGACCCTGCAAGGGAAAGGAGCCACCCTAAAACAGGACTCAGGGGACCAGCTGATTCTGCAGGAAACTAAAACCTTTAAAGGAGAACTATGAGGCGAGTGCTTTTCACTCACCTCATAGTTCTAGCCGACCTGTGACAATGAAACTGTCACAGGTCGGCTCAGTAGATCGGGAAGTGAGCGAACACATACCGGCGTTCGCTCACCTCTCGATCCTGTCACGGCTCTCTGCCGTGACAGGGGAGGGGCTGGATTCCCCCCTCCCCGCTCCGATCCGCCAGCGCTGACTGGCGGAACGGACGGGGGAGGGGGCGGGTACAGCTGGCTCTGCCTCTAGATAGGCAGAGCCAGCTGTCACTCCGGCTGCGGCGTCTCAGTATACCGCGAGCTGTAGCTCGCGGTATACTGAGCTTAGGGTGACGGGAGGACGCTAGTTTGTGTCCTCCCGTTACCCTAAGGAGAACTTATACCCCATAGTTCTCCTTTAAGCATCAAGGAGCAGCATCCATTGTAAGTGATTTCATTAGCATTTGAAATAGCTTAAAAACCTTTTAACTTTAATATGACTTTAAATGCTGATTAAGTCCATGAGTGGCGGAACTATGGGGCCCGAAATAGTGGGGGGCCCGGTCAGGAGCAGGATTGTAAGCTTCCCGCCCGGGTACCAACATAGGAGTGCACACAGGGCAACAATCAGTCTGTGCAAGTGTCCTGATTTCTAGTTACGCCCCTGAAGTCCAGGGATGGAGCACTATGATGCAATGCGCACCTCATTCCTTGCTGCAACAAGCTTCCACTTTGCCGTGTGACTGTTCCTCCGAAGCTTCTTCTCAAAGGCTCTCTGGCTGGCAGTATGACGTCTCGTACTACTCTTCTACTCTTGTAGTATGATGTCATAGTGTACAATGCAATACCAGCAGTCCTTCATTGTGCGTGAGGACGCAATGGCCCACCCACAACTCAGGGAGACGTGCGCTTCGGAGAAAATAGCGCCCTCCGCTGGAAGAGCGAGGAATAAGTATTAAATCTTCTTCTCTTCTCCTAGACTTAAAGTGACGCTAAACTCAGGAGTTAAATCTTAAAAATACATTCAGGTACCTTAACTATGAACAACAATGTATCTTATTTGTGTATCACTCGGCTGTAGATCCTCCAATCATCTCTGAATTGGTGCTGACACTGTCCTTCCTTCTGGGGGGCGGGGGGCTACTTGTGTTCCCCATGGTCCCTGTGTGTGTTGGGAAGTAGTCACCGCTCCACACTCGCTCCCGGGATGGACTACAATATCAATACAAATGAGGAAACTAAACATGAGATTGTAGTCCATCCCGGGGCCTACTTTACAACACACACAGGGACCATGGGGGACAAAAGTAGTCACCCTCCAGAAGGAAGGACAGTGTCAGCACCAATTCAGAGGCGATTGGAGTATCTACAGCCGAGTGATACACAAATAAGAGACATTGTTGTTCATAGTTAATGGAGAACTATGAGGTGAGCGATTTTCACTCATCCTCATAGTTAGAGCCGACCTGTGACAAAGAAACTCTCACAGGTCAGCTCTATAGATCGGCAAGTGTGCAGAAACATCTACGATCTGCTCACTTCTCGATCATCTCCCTGCAGAGAGAGTTTACTGTCAGTCACGGCTCCCTGCAGGGATTCCCCCCTCCCCGCTCCGATCCTCCAGCGCTGACTGGCGGAACGGATGGGGGAGGGGGCGGGTACAGCTGGCGCTGCCTCTAGATAGGCAGAGCCAGCTGTCACTCACGCAGCTGGGTGGATCCAGACAGTAATGGCGGGATCCGTCCCAGCTGTGCCGCTCTCTGTATATAGTGAGCAATAGCTCGCTATATACTGAGCTTTGGGTCACAGGAGGAAGTTAGTATATGTCCTCCCCTGACCCTTAAGAGAACTATGGGGAAAAACACTTACCCCATACTTCTCTTTTAAGGGACTTGAAAGTATTTTTAAAAATTTTCCTCCTGAGTTTAGTGTCACTTGAAAGAGAACCGTGGCAACAGCAAAGAAATCACAAAGTATAAAGAGAGACATAGAGGTTATAGGGAGAATGTAGGTAGAAGGGTGATAGGGAACTGTAGCACTCCTCCTCTTGGGGTGATGTGGAATGACCCCCCTAAGTAGTGTGGCTGGCTAACAGCTCCAACTCAGGGTCGGGTTCTTGGTGTATGATGGGGAGAAGAATAAGTTGGGGCGCCAGTGACTGTAACCTTTTAAGCTTTTATTGCTCAACTCTAGGGGGGGGGGTTTCGGTTTAGGGGTGCAAGGTACTCAAAAAAGAAGTACAAAAATGGCAGGTATACTGAAAATAATATAATAAATATAAGCATTGTATAGGACAACAAATATATAAGTATTGCACCATGATATTCAACCTATCTACTAATCAATATAAATATTGCACTAGCCCAGTTAAAATGTTTATAGCCCTTAAAAACAATCGTCATACTAAACCTGGGGGGTCATTCAATGTTTATTAGCATTGTCAGTGTATGAGCTGGTGGGGTTTTGGTCTCCCGTGTCTCAGTCTCCGCATTTCGTAGCTTTTCTTGCCATTGGCCTCGGCGTGTCATTCAGCCAAATGGCTACAGGAAGTGGCAGCTCGCAGATTGCTTCTGCCTAAAGGATCCGTGACCTATATTCCCTCAGACAGAGCGCAGGACGCAGCGAGATTTCTGACTTGTCTCCTACAAATGGGTCACTGACCTTGTAAACGGTCTCCTGGTGTGATGCCTCCCCCCCCAGGAGGATAGTTTATACCAAAAGACTCAGTAAGTCAGACACTTGTCCACCGCAAATTCAGCGCCAGCTCATCGAGAGAACGGCAACTCTGCATATGACAAATTGTCCATATGAGTTTGTAGCCTATCACATCTGGCACTTCCAGTGGCACCTTGTAGACCAGTGTTCTATTGAAAGCTCCAACTCATCGAAATCTCCAACTACCTCACTTCTGGTGCTCAGAAAAACTGGAGCTCTGTACAGTTGCGGTGCGCAGGGCCGGATCTACTCTCTCTGCTGCCCCAATGCCAGGTTCCTCAATGCGCCCCCCTGTATGCAGGCTGCATATAAGTGATCTTGGGGGAATCGCCAAGATCAGATGTACAAAACAAGCGGCAGCTTCCCTGCTGTACATTTAGCTCTGCTTGCCCAAAGCAGGGCTAAATGTAGGAAACAACAACCCGCCCGGCAACTGCATGTCCCGGGCGTCGGGGGAAAGGAATTCCACACCCCTGCTGCCCCTCTACTCCCTGCTGCCCCGAGGGCAGGCCTTTGCTGGCCTTGTGGGAAATCCGGCCCTGGCTGTGCGCATGCGCGCATAGCGTCTTCAGAATACTCGTCGAAGTTTGCCACCTGCTGAATATTGTTAAAATGCAGCTGTACAGAGCTCCGTCAAGTCTTTGTGTTTTGCAGTCTAACGACGTCTGGTCAGAATCTCCAACTTGCAAGTACCCGGCAGTGAGGTAGTTGGAGATTTCGACGAGTTGGAGATTTTGATAGAACACCGGCACAGCGCTGCTTTTTATCCACAAGAGGGAGCCATGAAAGAGGTCTTCTGGGTCTCATTTCCATTTGCCTTTAGAGAAGCTCCCCGAAGCCCTATTTGCATCTTAACTGCCCACATGATATAACCGCAATGCAAAGAAGGCAACCCATTATGTGGAGGAAATGGGGCTAACCAATTGTGGTCTTTGCTATTCTTTGTCTAATGATACTATTGTTGGCCTTTAATGACTCCTTACTGGAGTTTTCATTGATATTATGTAATAGACAATTCAAGGTGAGGAGTGGAGACACTTACAGTGTATAGTTATTCTTCCAGTAAAAGTGCATTCATTCATTTACACATAACCTATTCTATCCCCGTTGTAGCAATGGTTACATTTATATACTCGTTCCCTCCAGCAGTCTCTAGAATTGTAACATTGTATCTCCCTATGCTCCTCGGCTCCATCTAGTGGCCACAATGTGGTATTTTACTATTTATTCCCTATGATGCTGAGCTCCATCTAGTGGCCGCTATGTGGTATTTGACTATGTCCTATGATCCTCAGCTCCATCTAGTGGCCATAATGTGGTATTTTATCATTCATGTCCTATGATCCCCAGCTCCATCTAGTGGCCATAATGTGGTATTTTATCATTCATGTCCTATGATCCTCGGCTCCATCTAGTGGCCATAATGTGGTATTTTATCATTCATGTCCTATGATCCTCAGCTCCATCTAGTGGCCATAATGTGGTATTTTATCATTCATGTCCTATGATCCTCAGCTCCATCTAGTGGCCATAATGTGGTATTTTACTATTTATGTCCTATGATGCTGAGCTCCATCTAGTGGCCATAATGTGGTATTTTACTATTTATGTCCTATGATGCTGAGCTCCATCTAGTGGCCATAATGTGGTATTTTACTATTTATGTCCTATGATGCTGAGCTCCATCTAGTGGCCATAATGCTGTATAACACTATTTATTTCCTCTGATCCTCAGCTCCATCTAGTGGCCACAATGAGGTATTTCACTATTTATTTCCTATGATCCTCAGCTCCATCTAGTGGCCATAATGCGGTAGTTTCCCCATTCACTCTGTTCTTAATGAATCAACCAATTGAAGAACGCTAAATTTTGCCCCATTCTCACAACTTAGCTCACGCATGTACATATATTTTACTATTTATTCCCTATGATGCTGAGCTCCATCTAGTGGCCGCTATGTGGTATTTGACTATGTCCTATGATCCTCAGCTCCATCTAGTGGCCATAATGTGGTATTTTATCATTCATGTCCTATGATCCTCAGCTCCATCTAGTGGCCATAATGTGGTATTTTATCATTCATGTCCTATGATCCTCAGCTCCATCTAGTGGCCATAATGTGGTATTTTACTATTTATGTCCTATGATGCTGAGCTCCATCTAGTGGCCATAATGTGGTATTTTACTATTTATGTCCTATGATGCTGAGCTCCATCTAGTGGCCATAATGCTGTATAACACTATTTATTTCCTCTGATCCTCAGCTCCATCTAGTGGCCACAATGAGGTATTTCACTATTTATTTCCTATGATCCTCAGCTCCATCTAGTGGCCATAATGCGGTAGTTTCCCCATTCACTCTGTTCTTAATGAATCAACCAATTGAAGAACGCTAAATTTTGCCCCATTCTCACAACTTAGCTCACGCATGTACATGCAGTTTTGCTGGACAAATAAGCTATACATTTTTTTTTTTATAAATAAACCCCTTTATGGTATGTGGGAACACCAGATTTTCAAGATAGGAAAGAACAATGCAAACCGAGCCTAAGTCCCTGTTCACATCTGTGCGATCTGAGATGGCTCGGCCATTGCGCTACAGTGCATGACAGAAGGAATCCCAATTTTTTCTATAGGGCCCATTCACACCTATGTGTTGCACAGCAGCATGGCCGCCCCAATAATGAGGCAGCCTGAGGTAGTTGCCTCAGGCGATATCTTATTGGGTCGTGTGGGGGGGAAGGGAGGTGTTCCTACTGCCCCTTTTCCGGCCAGAGTGTCCCAGGTAGGTAAGAGCTCTTGGCAACCTATGACACTCTGGCCGGCATCCTGCCCAGCTCACTGCCATCACTGGTTGCTAGGAGCTGAACGGGACGCTCTGGCTGGCATCCCACCAAGCTCCTGGCAACCAGTGATGTCAGTGAGCTGGACTGGACGCCGTGCACCACAATCCGCCTCAACTCCCCCCCCCCCCGTAATGTGCACCAATATCCGCCTTAACTTCCGCCCCAGAATGTGCACCATGAGGGTTAGACAGATGGAAGAAACAGGTGAAATCTGCTCTGGTTTCTCTGCCACTGAATAACAACCAGCAATCCAACTGAAGAATCCAGCAGGATGTCCTCCTGAGGTCTCTCTCTGCTCCGGAACATTAATTCACCAACCTCCGAACCGTGCTGCAGAGCATTCCTCCCTCTGATGTCACACACTCCCCAGGCTGGCACATGGTAGCGACCCCATAGTGATAAACTGGGGCGGCCATTTTGGAATAGTCTGAACTCCATTGGCGGTAAGCTGCTGGAAGCTGAAGGACCTTTAGAGGCAGAGACATAGTAAACCATCGATGCCACATAACCAGGGCTGGATTTACTCTCTCTGCTGCCCCAAGGCCCCAGG